TATGACTTGACGACAGTAAACAACAGCAGCAACAGGAAAAAAAAAAAGCTGTGTTAAAATAAACTTGGAAAATACTAAGTTCTTTACTATGGGATGTCTCAGAATTTTTACTATGCTAATGGCACATAACAACAACAACGTGAGTTATCAATCTCCAAAATGCAGGTATATGGAGCACTTAGCCAATGTATTTATATATTTAGCCATAGTACCCTTTTTTCAAAGTATTTCATAGGATCAGCTTTCCAAACACACTTTCAGAAGTGCTACCCTATTCCCTAGAAAGATTACGCTGTCATGCTTCCATACCACTGTGCAAACAAATACCTTCGTTATGTAGATTACCACACTGTACTTCGTTTCTCTCACTAGACAGGGAATCTCTTTGAAGGCAGGGAATATTGTTTTTGTTGATTTTGGTACCAATATCCAGCAATGTAATCAGCTAAATAAACCATCTCATATCCTTTTTCTCTTCCTCATTGTGCTCTGATAGGTATAGATGATCTATTGGGACATGGCTTCCACCCAAACTGAGGATCTTGAAAGCTGTAAACGCCAACCACTAGTCAGGCTTAGAAAAGGAATGATGCTGTTTCCAAGTCTTAGGGCAGAGTATTCCTTCTATCCACACTGCAGGTCCAGTTGTCAATGGTCCAGTTTTGGGGAAAGGTCACTCTGGACAGCTGGAAAGTTCCTAAGGGATTTCTAAGATTGTAGAGGAACCCATGTCTCTTCCATTGAATAAGTGATGAGTTCATCCAGCCCTAGCCAGGGACCCAGAGAAGCACAAAAGCATGTGTGCACGCAGAGGTCTTCTCTCATGGCCAGGCTGATGGGAAGGCTTTGTTAAGTAGGTCACATTCTGCTAGAAGCTCTTGGCTCTGGCTCTCTGAGTCCCTTATGTCCCCTCTGATGGTGAGAATTATTAAATTTACCACTTGTCTAGCTATCAACATACTCGATGCCTTAGCCATTCATCTTCCATTCTCTTTCTTGTCAAGATTTCCTCCTACACTCTAATCTAGAAACCTGCTTCAAGAAGTTTCCTCAGTTCCACCTATCAGCAACATCTAACATTTTAACTGGCCCCGCAAACATTAACTATTTCCCCTCAGGTAGACTCCCACACTCCCACCTCACTCTATGGGTACTCGACCCACAGCCATGAGATCAGATTTCTCCTCTTCACTTCATTTCTCCATTCACAGGCCAAGTACAGGAATTTCAGTAATAGCTTAAGTATTAGTCTTGTCCCATATGGTTTCCCACTCAAATTCATCTTTTACAAAACAATCTTCCTAGCACACTTTTATCTTAACATTTCTTTTTTTAAGGCCAATCACTGGTAATGACTGACGGAGACAAGAGCAATAGTAACACAGCAGCAGCAGCTAACATTTGAGGACCTACTGTTCTACTTACATTTACATATATTACCTTATTTAACACTCAAGCAGACCCATGAAGTTTATATACTCTGTTCTTGGAACTTAAACGTTACGAGCTCTGGTAGCATAGTGGCTAAAACACTTGATTGCTAACCAGAAGGCTGGCGGTTCAAACCCACCAGCCACTCCTCGGAAGGAAGGTTGGGCAATCCTACTTCCATAGTGACACTGCCTCAGAAACCCAAGGAGGGGTCACTATGAGTCGGGCCGACTTGACAGCACATAATAACAACAACAACACGCCCATTTTAGGAGCTCTGGTGGCGTAGTGCCCAAGGCACTTGACTGCTAACCATAAGGCTGATGGTTCAAACCACTCCTTGGAAGGAAGGTTGGGCAATCTACTTCTGTAGTGATATTGCCCTGGAAACGCAGGAGGGGTCATTATGAGTCGGATTCAACTTGACAGCAGTGAGTTTGGTTTTATACCCATTTTACAAATGGCAAAGCAAAGGTCTTACTGCAGGAATTACTAATCCAGGCCTTTAAATGTGCCAGGAGACTGTGAACCCTCTCAATTGGCCAAGTTTGTACCAATGTGCATTTCTGGAGGGAAAGTGTTTATAGCTTCTATTGCTATCTCCAAAGATGCATGACTTGAACACAGTTGTTGACTGCTGCTACAATGCTACCTTCTATTGTTAAATCAAACAAAATCCCTGAGTCTGATGTTAGCTGCCCCCACCAACTTATCCCTGCTCTTCACCTACATACAGTCTCATCTCCCCTTCCTTTGAGAAGCCACTGGTCATTTTCACCAGCTTGTCTTTATACCATTTCCCACACAGAATGGGTCCCTAACTCCAAAGCCTACTCATGTTCTAAACGGCCTATCGCTAGACCCTCCAAGAAGCCTCTTTGTCTCCTTCAGTGCCTGCACTATCACATGGCCTCCAAGTACAAACACGGTACCCGATGCAGCAGGCAGCCCCATTTAGCCCCATTTCCTCACCCATGCCTGCTCCCACATACACCGACGTTCATCTGCCTCACACACTCTAAACTGTAAATTGACAAAGACGCACGTCAAGGCACCGTCACGCTCACTAAACACCTCGTCACATCTTGCTACTCATACCAAAAGCTCCCGAATAGCTCTATCATACACTAGCCCAGGGCCATTATCACACGTTCTTACAGACACAACCTCGGACCCAGTCACCCAATCTCCTAAGCACAATATCTCACCCACATACCCACTGGCCTACAGATTCTGCCCCCAATTCTCAATGACAATCTCTCACCTACTGACAGTCAATAACGTTCCAACAGACGCTCTGACAAACACCCATCACCGCTCCCTCGCGCGCCCCGCCTCACCCGATGCTGGTACAGACAGACGTTCCCGAAGCCGCCGGTGCCCAGCCGCTCCCGCATCTCCCAGGGCCCGCCTGCGCCGGGCCGCAGGCCCGGGGGCCCCTCCATGGGGCGGGAGGGGAAGCGGCCTCAGGCACCGCCGCCGACCCAAGGCCGGTTCCGGGCCGCCCAGACTCGCGCGTCTTTCTTCTCGCGAGATTTGCGTCACTTCCAGTAACTTCTGCACGAAAAACTCCGCCCAAGTTCTCCCAGGCTCGCTGGAACCCCGCTGGCGAAAGGGTGGGGAGGGGAAGAGTGCGCTCCCAGTTGACTCTCTCTAGTGCCCTGGCTTTTTCGTGAGCCCACTTTTCTAAGACCCACGTGTTTTTCCCATTCTTGAAAAATGTAAGATCTCTCCAGATCCTACATTCCCTTCAAATCACTTTCCAATCCCTCCCGTATTTTTCTTTTCAAATTTTAGACTGTCTCCTCCCCTGTATACACTTCACATTTCCCCAGACCCCTGCTACGTATTCTTCAACCCCACCACCCGCTGAACCTGCACGAACAAAGACCCCCAATTATTTAAATATTACAGAATTCGAAGAACTGAATAGAATCCTGTGCTAACAGGCCCACTGGCTTGCTCCTTTCCTGATACGTCTCCTTACTGACGAGTCACAGATCGGTTTTTGTTTTGTTTTGTTTTGTTTAATTCCAAGCTGGTAGGCCCCAAGCTACACAGTCTTCAAGTTTGTCTCAGCATCTTCAGGTGTAATATAGAGGTAATAATACCTACCACACAGATTTTGTGAGGACCAAGTGAAATAGTGTTTGGGCCATAAATCCGTTGTCAGCCAGTCCCGTTTAGACTCATGGCGACCCTATAAAAAAACCACAACCAAGCTCACTGCGACAGAGTCGATTCTGACTGAGCAATCCCCATTGGGTTCCCAAGGCTGTAAATCTTTAGGGAAGTAGATGGACCCATCTTCCTTCCACCAAGCAGCAGCTGGTGGATTTGAACCGCTGACTTTCTGGTTAGCAGCCAAATGCCTTATCCACCATGCCACCAGAGCTATATTAAAAAAAAAAAAAAAAAAAAAAAAAAACACCTCACTGCTATCCAGTTGATTCCAACTCATAGCCACCCCCTTTGGGTTTCCCAGGAGGTAAATCTTTAGGGAAATAGATTGCCCAATCTTCCTTCCACAGAGTGGCTGATGGGTTTGAACCACCAATCTTCTGGTTAGCAGTCAAATGCCTTAGGCACTACCCCACCAGAGCTATATAGGACAGAATAAACTGTTCCGTAGGGTTTTAGACTGCCACATCTTTCTTGTCTGGGCCATAAGTGCCCAACATATAGAAGCAATTACTTTTCTTTTGACAGTCTTCTGGGATCTCTCTCTCTCTCACTCTCTCTCTCTGCTTCTTCGTGGACTTGTTGGATCACTCCATTTCCTAGCACTCCTGAAATATTAGTATTTCTCAGGTAGTCATCCTCAGGTTAAAACTTTCTTCACTCTTATTTTCATCCGTTCTCTTAATTTCATCTACAGCCTATATCCTGAGGGTCCCCAAATCCCTATCACCAAACTAAATCTCCAACAGCACAGGTGACACATCTGTCACAAAGCTTAGGCATCTAAAACTCAACATACCCAAAGCAGAACTCATCTTCTTTTCTTAAATCTGTCCTTTCTTTTCCCAATTAGAGTAAACCATGTTGGGTCCTGGCTGTACTCCCAGAGCCTAGAAAAATGCCTTCACGTAAGAGTTACATATTTGCTGAAGGCCTAAATGAGCTTTTATACATCAATCAGATAACTGCTATAAGAGAAAAATGGCAAAGGTCCCTTCTCCAAACTAGGTTGCTCAGGGAGAAGCCATTTGGTGTGATTCTAGGATAACAGATGGGCCTAAAACCCTGGCCCCTCCTATTACACACACTACCTCATTCCAATCATCATAGGTAACATGAACATAAGACACTTCTTAATCATGGAAAAACCTGTGGATTTTATTTGATATTTCACTTGTTTTTTTAAAATGTTGACAAACACAAGCTTGGACATGGAGCTGGATGACAGAAATGCTTTTAACATAGGATTTTCATCTGAATGTGACTTCTTCCAAAAATTACTCAGTCCTAGGCCTCTTGCTGTAAGCAAGTTCCATGGGAATGCATGAAAGAGGCAGGGAAACAGTCCCCATGGGAGACTGCAGTTTCTTTAAAAACAGGTTGATGAACCTCTGAAGTTCATAAAATGCCTTTCCCTTTGGTTAGTCATCCAGAGTGAAGTCAAAGGGCTCAAAGTCTTTCCGGAAGCGGCGGGCTAGGGTCTCTTCCTCTTCCCTGCTGGTCTGACACTGCCTCCAGTCAGACTTGTCAGGAATATTAAGGATGGCTTCGCTGGCCAGGACCTCCCTGCACAAAAAGCACAGAGAAGTCAAAATGGACAGTTCAGCCCTAAATCCTCTCCTCCGTCTGTTCCCCTCCAGCCGGAGAGCTCTCCTCAGCATCACCCAAAGAAGGTATGCTGACTTTGCTCACACCACTCTCCTGCCCTGTGTGCCATCACTGCCAGCCTATCAAAATCATAACCACTGTACGTGGCCAGCTCAGGTCGTACCTCTTTACTAATGCCTCAAACTCTATTAACTTCTCCTTCTGTTGATCAACTTGGAACTACATCATTGGTACTTCGAGAAGGAACATGGCACAGCAGAAAGAGGGCAGGCCCTGGAGTCAGAAAAACCAGAGATAGACTCCACTCCTAGTTCAGCACATGCTATGACTTGAACAAATGACTTCATCCGTGAGTCTATTTCCTCGTCCATGAAATAAGAATACAGTCGTCCTCCAGTATCCATGGGGTATTGGTTCCGGGGCCTCCATGGATACCAACATTTGCCTGTGCTTAAGTCCCTCACATAAAATGGTGTAGTATTTGTGAATAACCTATGCACATCCTCCCACATACTTTAAATCATCTCTAGATTATTACACTCCCTCTTAGCCTTTAAGGGATTGCTTTGACCTCTTCATTGCTTTTTTCCTCCCAAAATACTTTTGATCCATGGTTGGTTGAATCTGTGAATGAGGAACCCATGGATACAGAGGGCAAAATGTAGTATCACCTACCTTACAAGGTTGTGTAAGAAGTGGAGAAAACAGAGCACCATAGTAGCTGAGATTACAACCTGCCTTAAACTCTAGTTTAAGCTAGATCATGAGTTTGCTGAGGGCCTGGTGCAGTTGGGCACTTAGTGTCATACTGCTCTGACTTGAAATTCCTCTGACTCTCCTTCTAAGGCTCAGGTCTAGATGGGTACAATGGCATACTCTGTTAACAAAACAACTTATCTTGGCCCTCAGGATAAAAATAACTACACACACACACACACACACAGCCACTGTATACTAGATTTCTTTAAATGTCATTGCTTTTTTATTTTATTTCCACTTGTTTTGATGTACTAGAAATAACTCTGTTTCCATATCTGTATCATCCATAGTCTACTCTGAAGCTATAATGAATAGAAGAGTTGAATCCTAATCACATAAATCCTTTAAAAGTCAGAGAACTCAAACTTCAAGTTCTAGCTCCCTAGGCAAACCTTTGAGGTTACTTCGTCTCCTATAAAATGAAGATAGCACTACATTTCTTATACAACTGAAAAAAAAAAAGTCATTTTAAGTATTTCGTTAACTATAAATTGCTATAATAACTGTAAGCAGTATTTTGAAAAATACAACTATCATGAGCACAAAATCATTCAGAGAATTTCCCTTTTATGGGCTCTGTATCATCAATCACATGCCTAAGCCATCATTGCCCACATCTGCATCTGTTGCTGAGGCAACAACAAAAAGATAATGTCATAACATTAACAATGCTCATAACACACTTGTACTCATTTATTAATTATCTTTTTTAAAATGTAGACAGCACATTTACCGGGCTTATGCAACTGTGGTAATCTCTTGGAGGCTTTCCAAAATAATCCAATAAGGATTCAAGGATCACTTAAAGCCCAGTTCTAACTTGGGGGAAAACACAGCTACAAATTACAGACACCAGCATTAGACAGTCGCTTCCACCCATTTTCTACTCCCCTTCATAGTCTTGTCTCTTCTTGCCAGCTCCTCCCTGTTTTTCATCTTTGCTTAATTATACCACCCTGTATGATTTTATAGTCATGTACTCTGATATTAGGACCAGAAACGAAGGCTCACCCAGGTTTTTAAGACAGCACAGAATAATGACATTAAGTCCTCATGTTTTGGGGCCCAACAGGCCTGGCTTTGAACCTACCACTGTGGGATCATGAACAAGGTATCAGACTCTCTAGGGCAGTGCTATTCAACACAGTAGACACTGGCCAGGTGTGGCTATTTAAATTAACTGAAATTAAGATTTCAGTTCCTCAGTCACATTAGCCACATTTCACATGCGCTCCATGTGGCTAGAGGTTACTGTATTGGGCAGTGCAGAAACAGAGAACATTTCCATCATCATGGAAAGCTCTGTTGAGCTGTGCTCTAGAGCCCCACTCTCCATATCAGTAAACTGGGACGGATGGACCTAACAAAGTTGTGAAATAATTCAAGACATATCAAGTTCTTAGCACAGAGCACACACTCACTTCATGGTGGCACTTTACTACCTGGGTCTAGAATCCTTCACGCCAATCTTCGCCCTCTAAATCTACCTCTCAAGTCCAGTTTCAACCCTTTCATGAAGCTTTTCACCAAGTAGAAAGAACTCTTTCTTCTCTGAATGGCTATAAAGTGTTTGTTCCCCAAAATTTGTCATGATATTTTTCACATTCTGCATGCTATTTCTGTCATATATGTAAATATCTGACTTGCCCTAAGACTGTAAGGTCTTTGGGGCAAAGGTGGTTTCTTATTTTGATTTGTATCAATTGTCCATGAAACCTAATACTTTGTTCATAGTACCAATCAAAAACCAAACGCACTGCCGTCCAGTCGCACTCGACTCAAAGCGACCCCTCCTTGGGTTTCCGAGGCAGTGTCACTATAGAAGTAGATTGCCCAATCTTTGTTCATAGTAAATCTAGTAAAAATACATTTGACAGAAGAAAAACATACAAACCTTCCAAACTGCAAAGGAAAATTCTTTTTAATTCTGTGGAAAAGCTTCTCTCCTGTGTCAAGTTCAACATAAAAATATGCTGTTCCTGGCTGTGCAATCTAAAGTAAACAGAGTTATATGAGAACATACAAAAATGCTTGACAAATCTAAAATCCTTGCGTATCTCCTGTAAGCTTTAATTTGGTAAAGAATTCAGTCTAGAAGCATAATGAAAAAAAGAAAAAAGAAGGAAAAAAAAAGATGCAAGTAACTACAGATTCTAAATTACTTAGTGGATCCAGATTTTAAAACACCAGACTAGCAGACATTACCAAAATCCTATGAGTGACACTCAACCTCCTAATTCCCACCTTACGAAAGTTCTAATTTCTAGCTCTTTCCAGAAAGCACTAGGACTTTGCTACAGTACCACATTAACTGTCAGTCTAATCAAAATCCTGTGCTCCAGGCCCAAGTTGTCCCCTGCCTACTTAATATTTTTGGAACGCCTTGACAGCCCTCAGATCAGTATGTCAAAAACCAGATCTTTACTTCTCCCTGAACACCACCCTACCCCCGCCTCACCTGCTTGATGTCGGAGTGCTCTGGAATTTCTAACAGCTCTATCTGTTGCTCCTGAGCCTGAGAAATGAAGGCGTCTTTAATGTCATTGGTAGCACAGCAGCTCAGTGGCACAGGAATGACCTGGGGGCGAGGAGTGAGACGTGAGAACTCCTCTGTGCAGGCCCCAGAGAGGATGCACCTGCCCAGTCCCTGAGAAGTAGGAACTCCATCACTGGGGTGAAGAAACACCCCTCAGCTCAGATACTCCTCATGCCAGACAGGCCTGTGTTGGCCTGTACGTAAGGTCTTAAACTCATGAGCTAGCTGCCATGTGTGGGGAGCCAATCTCTGATGCGGGTAAGGCGAGAGAGAGTTCTTTCTCATCACGCCTTTGTTAGCTCCTACGTAATGTATGTGGCAGAGTCAGGCCCATTTGAAACTTAACCAATGTGCCAGAAAGAAACCACCACAATGACAGATTATCCACAACAGTCTCCACACATCTGACAGCTGCTAGCCCCATGAGGCCTGAGACTATTTCCTGCCTCTAAGCCTTTGCTCATGCTGGGCCACCCCACAAAGCACAGCCTTCCAAACTCCATCTCTCAAGGCCCAGATCTCTTCAGAGTCTTCCTCAACTACCATTCCTTATCTCCACAAAGCACTCAGCATCTGTGCCCTTCACTTGCACTGACTACACACTGCTCTAACCTTTCAAATGAACGTTATTCAAATATTAACATGAACATTTATATTAAATATTTTAAATATTGTAGTAAATATTTACATATTAATTAAAATTCAATAACAAGTTAACATTATTTAAATAAGATAAATAGCACTTAAATATTTATTTCGCAATGCCACAGAGTCCCCTCCAAGCTCCTGGGCAGGGAGCACTGACCTGCAGCTGGAGGTGATGGCTCTTATAATTTCTCTCAAACAGAACACATCGTTTCCCTCGACTCCTGAAGAACCTCCTCAGTGTAGCCTTATACTTCTCGACTTCCTCCACCACCTCTGCTGAAAGCTCCACCACTGACTGGTAGTGTCCAATGGGCAGGACAAGGACATGGTCATCAGACAGGCCTCCCTTGGCCAGGGCAAGGTAGCACTGAAGAGGAAGCACACAGATTGAGACATCTCATGTACTGAGATTCTCCAGGAAGAAAAGCCCGTGCAGGCAACGGGCCTGAGGGTGGGAAAACGTGCTCAGAAGACCATCAGTACAAATTCTCCGACTTCTAACAATCTGATTTTAGAGGTTATAACAACAATGTTCTCAGGTGTCTGCTCAAGAGTAACATTATACAACAAACTGGCATTTAGCTGCAAATAAATTGGCAGCAAATGAATGGGCAGAGGAACACAAGCAGACTTTTTGGCTTCAAACATACCAGTGCCGAAAGGGACTAGAACAACAAACATCTGGTTTTTCCTCCCAGGCCTCAAACTTGAAAATAATTTTTCAGTTATTATCATCGTCAGCCACAGAAAGCTCACTTCTGAATTAAAAATGATCACTGTCGGCCTCCCTATAATAGTATCCAATCTCCAGCTCTCTTGTCAAATACACCCCCTGAGCTCCTAAGAAAGGCTAAGGTGACAGGATTAGCATCCTAAAGCTTTAAGTCACTGACTGATCTCCACAAAATGCAAGCAAACCTGTGAGCTAATGGGGTAGAAGAAGAATGAAGGAGAAACCTCAAAGCCAACAGGTGGAGACCAGGTTCCCAACAATGGATGTCGGCCATTAATAGAAACTATAGATACTTCTGTCTAAACCAGAACATGCAAGACTGCTGTGCCACTCAGATACTCTTTGAAGAGAAGAGCCTGTGATGTACATTCTGGGGTGCCTGAGGGCTCCCAATCAAGACTAAATAGGTCCCTGCTATAGTACTTCCAGTTCTTGCGGATAGCTTCATACATGCCATACTGTACAAGCTGTGTAGGAGAGAAGACAAGCACAAAATAATCCAAAGAAGAAAAAGGAGTCCAAGAGAGATAATCTGAAGAGGGATTTCCTCTAAAAGCAGGAGTTTTCACGCTGGCTATTCTTCTCACTGAGGAGCTCTGGTAGCGTAGTGCCTAAGGCACTTGACTGCTAACCAGAAAGCTGGCGGTTCAAACCCACCAGCCACTCCTCAGAAGGAAGGCTGGGCAATCTACTTCCGTAGAGATACTGCCTCGGAAACCCAAGGAGGGGTCACTGTGAGTTGGGGCCGACTCGACAGTACATAACAACAGCAACATTCCTCTCACTGAAGAGTCCATCCACGGGCTCCACAGCCCGACTGTGCTAGTGCTCCCCCAGAGACAGGACAGTTTCAGTAAGTAGAGCATTAAAAAAATAGATGTAAAAGGTTGACTCATCAGTCTGAAACAAAGGAAAGAGAGGCATTCTAGTCAGTCCACAGGAGGCCACCATAAAGGGTCCTCAGACTGTTAGGATAAATTGAGAAAAAGGTCATCCTCAGAAACCAAAATTAGAACAAATCAATGAGAAATGGATGAAAATGCCTGTTTGCAGAGAGACCACCTGCCAAGAAATAGTCTGTTAGTATTTCCCTCAGGAGCCTTGGAACACATCCAATTTGACTCACACAGGTGATTAGGGTCCAACTTTATGCCTGAAGATTAAGCTTGCTTCTCTCTACGTGAGTAACAAAGGATGAGGCTCTACATAGAGCCCAGAGATAGGAGCATCAAAGACTAGTATTATATAATGTTTAGTATCTGACTAAGTTTGAAATAGACTGATTTTACCATGAGACAGAGTAGTACATTAGGGTTTTCCACAGCCTGAATAAAATCATCCTCAGAGTCATCCAGTTTTTATCTGATTCAGTTGCTTACCAACCATCTTGAGTTCCCAGACACCAACACAAAAAATGTGGCTCTGGGTATTCCTGACACCGAAAGCTACATCCTCTGCTACCGGGCAAAACTGAAAATCTACCACGGCTTATGTATGATCTGAATTCCCAGGTGTATAGTAGAGCTGACAAGGGGCAAGGTTGTAGTCACTGCTTGGTCACAGCCAGCTACCAAGAGGGACCAAGTAGTTGAACCTGTGGGCTTGGGACCATAGTCACAGAAGACATCCAGCTCAACTGGCATAACATACTACACAAAACATTGTTCCACCTCCTACTTTGGCGAGTAGTGACTGGGGTCTTAAAAGCTTGCAAGCTGCCATCTAGATGCAACGATGGGTCTCTCCTCATCCAGAGCAAAGAAGAGTGAAGAAAACCAAAAATTCATGGAAACAATTAGTCCTAGCGACTGGTACACCATCCGATCAGCAGCCTATACGACTATTGAGACCAGAAGAACTAGATGGTGCCCGGCTACCATATCAACCACTTGTAAGGCGATCTATGTAGGAGATCCTGGATAGAGAGGGAGAACAATATGGAAAAATACTCAAAATCATTTGGAGAAAAAAAAAAAGGGGAGACCAGGTTTGCTGGTCCAGTAGAGCCTGGTGGCACCACTGAGACTATGACCCCTAGCTGCCCTTCTGGTCTGGAATTGAACCCACACCTGTGGCTTCTAGCCAGGCAAAAGATAGGCATAGGAGTTGAACATTTACCTGAGGTAGATACACTCCTTGGAGAGAACAATCATGGGAGAAAGAAGGGCTGCTTATGCACAAGGAGACAGCTCAAGGGACAGGAGTGCATGGAGAGAAGGACACAGGGAAGATGTAACTATGGGGAGGAAGTGGGAGGGGAGCTGTTGCATTGTGGTGAACTGTGGTCAATGTAATGAGACAGAGTGTATGTGAACTGCTGTATAGAAAGTGAATTTGCTTTGTAAAATTTCACCCAAATCACAATTTAAAAAAATAATAAATAATAAATTTAGAATAAATAAAAGAAAATCTACTAACAGCTTCAGTCTTTCTTATGACTGGTTAGTGCGAATCAATTCCAAAATAGATCATTCTAAATCAAAATGACTAAGCTCAAGTTTCTGAATTGGGAGTTAAAGAAGAGTATCAACATTTTAAATCCAACCGGGGTATACAAGCAACAGAGGACTTCCCTTGTAGGACAAAGAAAATCCTTGTTTTAAACACTGAGTAATTAACAAAGCAACTCATCATCCCCAAGTAGTATGGACTAAAAGTACAAAAAGTTCAAGAAGCATATCAAAGCATCACCCTAGGAGATCCATACTGTCAGGAAAGAAAGAGGAAAGGAAGGAGAGATCTTATAAGACTGGCTCTCAAAACCACAGGAGCATGGTTATAAGAAGAAGACAGACAATACCTAGTGTCATCAATGACGGAGAAAAACAGGAGCCCTCATATACTTCTAGTGAAGCCACTCTGGAAAAGAGTTTAGCAGCTTCTTAATAAATGAAACACAAAAATACCATACAACCCAGCAACCCCTTCAGGTATACACCAGGCAGCATTGAAAACGTGTCCACATAAAGGTTTGCACATGAAAATTCACAGTAGCATTATTTGTAATAGCCAAAAGGTAGAGACAACCTGAATGTCCATCATCTGGTGAATGGATAAATAAAACATAATACATAAAAAGGAACAGAATACTTGATATATGCTACAACATGGATGAACCTCAAGAATCTTATGCTAAGAAGCCACATCCAAGAGAAAACATATTATGCCATTCTATGCACACAACAACAACATTTATATGTAATGTCCAGAAAAGGTAAACTATAGACACAGAAAATAGATTACTGGTTGCCTAGGTTTGGGCCAGGAATTAAATGTAATGGGCATGAGCAATTTTACTGGAGTGATGGAAACATTCTAAAACTATTATGGGAATGGTTGCAAAATCTGGTATGCTTTAAATATCATTGAATTGTATACTTAAACTGCATATATTTTATGATACATACATTACGTCTACATATGCTGACCAAATAATCTGAGAAGCTGGACTTAAATAAAGTAGAACATGGTATCAGGATTGGAGGAAGGCTCACTAACAGCCTGGGATATGGAGATGACACAACCTTACTTGCTGAAATTGAAGAGGACTTGAAACACTTACTGAAAAAGATCAAAGACTACAGCCTTCAGTATGGATTACACCTCAACATAAACAAAAATCTTCACAAGTAGACCAATCAGCAACATCATGATAAACAGAGAAAAGATTGAAGTTGTCAAGGATTTCATTTTACTTGGATCCACAATCAATGCTCATAGAAGCAGCAGTCAGGAAATCAAATGACATATTGCATTGGCAAATCTCTGTAAAAGAGTGCTTTAAAATATTAAAGAGCAAAGACATCACCTTGAGGACTAAGGTGAGCCTGACCCAAACCACAGTATTTTCATTAGCCTCATGTGCATGTGAAAGCTTGACAATGAATAACGAAGACTGAAGACAAATTAATGCCTTTGAATTATCATGTTGGCAAATAATATTGAATACACCATGGACTGCCAGAAGGATTAAGAAATTTGTCTTAGAAGAAGTACAGCTAGAATGCTCCTTGGAAGGAAGGATGGCAAGACTTCATCTTATTTTGGACACGTTATCAGAAAGGACTAGTGCCTGAAGAAGGACATAATGCTTGACAAAGTAAAGGATCAATGACAAAGAGGAAGACCCTCACAGAGGCGGATTGACACAGGGCTGCAACAGTGGGCTCAAGCACAGCGACAATTGTGAGGGTGGCACGGGATCAGGCAGTGTCTTCTTCTGTTGTGCATGGGGTTGCTGTGAGTCAGAGCTGACTTGATGGCACCCAACAGCACCTAACTACAACAATATTATGCCTCAATAAAATAAAATTTATAAACCACAGATGTCTCCTCCTCTGTAAAAGGTCCATGATAGTAACTCACATGTGTGCCAACGTTGACCACCAAATGCTTTTCTACTTCAGGGCTAGCTAGGCAAAACCAGCAGGGTCCTGGAGGCTGAGCTGCATGTGGAAGGAAGACAAATATTACAATGGTCCAAGCACTACAGCACAAAATCACCCTACAGATCTCAGCCTTGTGTGATCTTTACATCTTGCAAAGACTGGTACAGTGCACTGCCATACAGCTGGGCCTGTTATGCTCCTCACTGGGACACCCCACCACTACCACCATTATCAGTGAAACTAAATCTCTATTACAACAGTTCTAAACTTGTAGCCAATCTATAGGTAGGTCATCCCCAAAAAGACAACGGCATATTGAATAAAGCAGCATGACACTGACAGTAATTTGTAGTGAAAGGATACCTACCAAACTGGATGTCAAGAACTCCAGTTCTAGTCCCAGCTATGCTACTAGCTAGCTACATAACCTTGGGTGATAAATTTACCCTCCAATGGTCAGCTTCTTCATCTTTGAAACAAGAAGGTGGGGGAGAGATGATCTAATAATTCATTGTGCATTTTTCCTCAGCCAGAAGAGGCTCCCTGAGCAATGCCACTTTCAAACAAGTCCCAAAAAATAACATTTATTGCCACACAGAAGAGCTCTGGAACCAAGGTACTCACGAGGTTTGCGAGACTGCTTTGGGTGAGGAGAAAACTTGCTCTCTCTGCCTGTAGAAGAGCGCTTCCTTCCTTGCTTTTCATTTAAGTCAAAGAAGAATTGACAGGCTGCTTCTTCCTGGAATGGCCAAAAGGTGGAAGAGTAAATATTATTCGACTAACCTTTAGACAGTAGTCAGCCTTTCATAAACAAGGAAACATTCCTGCCACATCATGTCTATCTCTCCTCTGAGTCCTTTCCGCCTCATCTCAAAAAAAAACGAAACTCACCGCCATCGAGTCCATTCAACTCACAGCAACCCCTCCGTGAATTTCCACGGCGGTAATGCTACGGAAGTAGATTGCCCAATCTTCCTTCCGAGGAGTGGCTGGTGGGATTGAACCACCAGCCTTCTGGTTAGCAGTCAAATACCTCAAGCACTACACCACCAGAGCGCCCTCTGCCTAGTCTAGGGAAGAAAAATATCTTTCTAATCCTGAAGTCTGGACTCTCAGCCATATTTCTCAATACTTATCCAAGATATCACCAAATGCATCTCTTTGGAAAAGCAAGTTAAAATACAAGTTCTAAGGTGTGATTCTTGCCCAAAACAGAGTAAGAACGCGCTCAGATTCTTGTTCCTTTCTCCCTCAACAGGCCCATAGTGAGTCCTACAAATTCATAGGTCAAATAAGTCTAATTTAGCTTTAGTAAAAACGATGACAAGGCTGCTCATAAAGAAAGGAAAATGTGGGAAAGCAAGCCATGCATGCCAGCAAGGAAACGTGACAGCTCTTGCTTTAGTGGGGCAATAATTAATTTCAGGAAAGTCTTCTTTAGGAACATTTCTTCAGAACACATCTTATTTGACACCAGCATTCATCATAGAATCACAAATTATTGCCACCAAGAACTCAGATCTTTGTCTAAACAGCTCAGAATAACTAATCAGGTTTACACAAGGAAACACTTAACATACGAAACTTGAAACCTCAACAAATGAATCAGTTTAGATAAGGACAGACTTAACATAAGAAACCGTTAACCCTAAACTAGAACAAAGAAAAATTTAAAAAAAATAAAACAACTGAGCTTACTTGAAATCTACAGAATCTTTCTTAACATCACCATGATTTCCCAAGAAGAAAAAGAAAGATTTATATTGTAAGTACTAGATTTGGCTCATATACTGAAACCACAAGAAAGTCTCCACCAGGAAAAGTAGACACGTAACAATTGGGCAGTTCTGCCCAGAAAGCACCACCGCTCCAACAGAACATACCTCAGGGGCAGGAGTCTGCTTTCCTATGGCTGTGTCCTCCCCAGATTTTCTGTACGGATTTTCAGTGACATCTGGAGGCTGCCTTACCAGTTCCGCTGCATTCATCAGTTTCATAGGAGTAATGCTGAATGCATAAAGATACTTTGGAGGGGGGAAAAATAACAAAAACAGAATAGTCTTAAGGGAATGCTATTTACCTAAATGTAATCATCCTATTTTGTTGTAAGATGATATAGAAAATTTCAGAAACCAAGTAAATTTAAAAGCATCCACCCACTCATCTGTGGTTCAGAGAACACAAAGTCAAATGCCAATTTAGCATCTCTGCAGGGGCAGACGAGGGCTGACATAGTTAATGAGCAATAAATTAAATCCCCATCTTCACACAAGTCAGGGTTCTCACTCCGATGGAAGTCCCAGGAAACCTGCTTCTGTCTCTGAGTTCTTTAGCTGCATATGCCTGGTCAACAGAACCACAGCAGTGCCATTCATCTTCCCTAACAGAAACCACATAATGGGACAACTCAGGGTTTCCTCCTTTGACACTATCCTAATTTTGCTATATGTGCTGATAAATTTTCTTATAGAGTAGTAGCAAAAACATAAATATTCTTATAAATTTCTAGAATCTTAAAGTATTAAAACAAAAACGGAGAAGTTCAGATGAGACATGATAGATGACCAGCCTGAGTACTAAGCAGGGAAATGCAAGTCACATAACAATGATACACCATTTTTCCATCTATTAAACCACTGCCATCAAGTCGACTCCAACTCATAGTGACCCTATTGGAAAGAACAGAATTGCCCCATACCATTTCCAAGGCTGTAAATCTTTACAGAAGCAGACTGCCTCATCGTTCTCCCGTGTAGCGGCTGGTGGGTTCAAATTGCTGACCTTTTGGTTAGAAGCCAAATGCCTTAACTACTGCACCATCAGAACTCCTTTTTTCATCTATTAGATTGATAAAACTTTAACAAAAATTTGATACTGGAAAAAAAAAATCTGACGCTGCTCTGAGAATCGCCATACACTGCTGGTAGGAGATGTAACTTGGCATAAAATTTTGAGGTGGATTTTGAATGCCTGCCAAATTTTAAAATTTGCACACCCTTTGAAGCATGAGTTGATATGGCTGCGGCGATCCTGTCCCTGATGGTGAAGCAGTAAGCTAAAGATATTGTGAATGCTATTCAGTCTCAAAAGGGCTGTAAAAAAATAGAAATCTAAAACTTGCTGACAATGAATTGGGCTTAAAGCTTAAAACATTATGGAAAAAAAATTGTGCTTGGTTATCATTTTTATGCATAATGTCTATGGCCTGTTAGAGTGGAACAATACTCTCTGTTTTCCCATCTGATTGATCACTTTGCTCTTCACTGTCTCAACCCACAGTAACCCTGCTTTTGGCCTAAGGAATCAGAGACGTTCTCAGGGAAGTGAGGAAAATAACCTACTTTTCATTCACCTGCACTGGTTTCCAACAGAAAGACAGACTCTGGTATCACTAAGATTTTCCAGAACCAAGAAGGGCTTAGATAAATCCTTGGGAGGATTTTACTATTTCTGCTCAATGAAGTTGCTAAAAGAAGCAAGGCAAGAGAAACATCTAAGGGCAACCTCACGAATATCCATATAGACAGCCACAGGGATATGGGAGAAAACGCACACTGTTTATTTGAAATTTTGACTTTGTTCCACCAGGCTTCTTTCTCTAAACCCTTCTCTAAAATCTCCTAGAAAGGAAACCTGACCTTTCATTACCATTTCTTTTCAAAGGAGTCACTAGAGCTGCTGGGACCTTGTAGATGGGGAGAAAAGATCTGAATGCTGAACTGGGGAAGATGAACATTTATCAGGAAGACAATGATATCAACCCACCACCAACTATGCAAATCTTTACCTTCTTCTTGTCTGGGTTTCCCACATTTGCCAGAGCTATAAACCGGGTTGCATGCTGTGCACTTTCCTGTAGAACAATGTGATTTCTAAAACATTGAGAGATAATAGGTTACCAATGAACTTCACATTTGATTTGCATTTGTGAAATTATGGAGACTCCATGGGGGCCCAAAAAGAGCACAGGACCTCAGTCCATCATAAAACCAAACCAAACTCA